TGGATGAAGCTGAGTATCCTGTGAAGCTGGATGAAGCTGAAGTTCCTGTGACGCTGGAAGAAGAAGCGTATCCTGTGAAGCTGGATGAAGCTGAAGTTCCTGTGACGCTGGAAGAAGAAGCGAATCCTGTGAAGCTGGATTAAGCTGAAGTTACTGTGACGCTGGAAGAAGAAGCGAATCCTGTGAAGCTGGATGAAGCTGAAGTTCCTGTGACGCTGGAAGAAGAAGCGAATACTGTGAAGCTGGATGAAGCTGAAGTTCCTGTGACGCTGGAAGAAGAAACGAATCCTGTGAAGCTGGAATAAAGCTGAAGTTCCTGTGACGCTGGAAGAAGAAGCGTATCCTGTGAAGCTGGATTAAGCTGAAGTTCCTGTGACGCTGGAAGACGAAGCGTATCCTGTGAAGCTGGATTAAGCTGAAGTTCCTGTGACGCTGAAAGAAGACGAGTATCCTGTGAAGCTGGATAAGGCTGTGAGTCCTTTAGTGGGAAGGGGGTTGCTTGAGTGTGATCCTTTGTTGTTAAAGGATCACGTCGGGGTCACCAATGTTTGTGCCTAACCGAAGTAGACACTTCCGGGTCACACCGCGGGACAAGGGGGTAATGAGCACTTGTCGCTGGCACGGGGACGCTTTGCTGGCAGAACGATCCCGCCGCGGCAATGGTAACGATGGTTACTGCGTTGCCGGACCACAGGCGATGCGGAACTGCGTTGAGGTTGAGCTAACGTAGGTTAGCTGCTAGTGGAGATAGTGTACTACGAGCCCTATTCCCAGAGGTAGGAAGTAGAACCGCGGAGCTATGAGATGCGTTGATAACTGTCTTCATTTGGCACATGTTTATATACTACTTGGAAGACGAAAGTTTAGTGTAATGATTAGTGAAGTGCGCTATATTCTAAAGTAGGTAGGTAGGTCAGGGAGTTTTGATTATGGTAGCAGTTTGTGTAGTTGGCTCGGCAGACACTGCAGAATGTGCTGACTGAGTCGGTGAGACGGTGAGTTAGTGAGACATATAATATGCTGATCAGCCATTCTCATATGCAGTGGGTGCTACTGAGCGCCTGGTACTGTTCCCAACTTGGCTTCTGCTTGATTTGTTGGGTGTGGTCATGTTGAGTACCTTTGGGTACGAACAATATTCTTGATCAGGATTACTAGCCGAGTCGATCTAGCCATGTCCGTCTGTCTGTCTGTCTCTCCGGATGAACGCTGAGATCTCGGATACTATAAGAGCTATTGAGATTTTGCGTGCAGATTCCTGAGCTTCTTACGCAGCGCAAGTTTTTTTCAGCAATGTGCCACACCCACTTTAATGCCCACAAACCGCCCAAAACTGTGGCTCCTACAGTTTTGATGCTAGAATAAAAATTTTAACTGAAATGTATTGTTCTAATCAAATCCTATCGATTTACCAAAAAAAAAAGTTTGCCACGCCCACTTTAACGCCCACAAACCGCCCAAGCCTGTGACGCCCTCAATTTTTATGCTAGATAAAAAATTTAACTGAAATGTATTGGTCTCGTCAATAAGTATCGATTGATTTAAAAAGAAATTTTCCACGCCCATTACGCTTAAACCTGTCTACCGTCGGTAGGTGGCGCATTTTAATCTCGCTTTGCTGCTTGCATAACTCCATTTCCCTTTGGTGCCTTTAGCTGAGTAACGGGTATTTGATAGTCGAGGTACTCGACTATAGCGTTCTTCCTTGTTTTTTTTAACTTTTTTGTTTGTCACAGATTTGTACAATTTTTGTCTAAAAATTCACATTTTACAATTCCTAGCACTTGTCACGGTCGTTATGTAAAAAGAGACATGTTAGGATATGTCTTTTTATACCCTTGCAGAGGGTATATTGATTTCAGTCAGCAGCTTGCAACGCAGTGAAGGAGACGATTCCGACCCCTTAAAGTATATATATTCTTGATCAGCATGACTAGACGAGTCGAACTAGCTATGCCCGTCTCTCCGTCCGTTTCTACGCAAACTAGTCTCTCAGTTTAAAAGCTATCGGCCTGAAACTTTCCCAAAAGCCTTATATCTTTTGCAGGTAGTATATAAGTCGGAACCAGCCAGATCGAACAACTATGCCTTACAGCTCCCGCAAAAAAAATTTTTTTTAAATAATGTCTTTGGTGTTTTTTAACATATAACCTTCTAAGCTTGGAAATAACATTTATAGCTTCCGTGTTTTTTAACATATAACGTCCTACGCTTGGAAATACAAATTTTTAATTAGTTCTGAATTTCGAATTTAATTTTATCAAAATCGGACGACTATATCATATAGCTGCCATAGGAACAATCGGAAAATTGGTGGGAAAATTATATGAAACAAATTATAGCTTTGGTGTTTTCTGACATATATACTATTGGGAATATCATTTTTTGTATTTTAAATTTAATAAATATAACTGCAAAGGTATACAAGCTTCGGCTTGCCGAAATTAACTTCCTTTCTTGTTTATTTATGTATAACTATACTTATACCCTTTACTCGTAGAGTAAAAGTGTACATTGTAGTCGGGGAAAAGCATGTAACAAGTAGAAGGAAGCGTTTGCGAGCCTATCAAGAATATATATTATTATATATTATAATAATATCTAATATTATACATATTCTTGATCAGAATCCCTAGTCAAGGCAATCCAGCAATGTCTGTGTGAGCCCTGTGGTTTCGAAAACTTAAAGAGCTAGAGACTTTAGATGTCAGATTTAGATTCCTTAGCTTCGCCCCAAAACCGCCCAAATCTATTGCTCCTAAAGTTTTTTTGGTAAACAAATTTTAATTTTTACTGAAATATAATGGTTTTTGTTTATACGGTAACGCTTTACAATGTCGCTTTGCTGCTTGTGTATCTCCATCTTCCTTTTGCTGCTTTTCAGAGCTTGGCGTGGGAGCGGAAAGCGTCCCAAAATAACTGTTGAGACCGGTGTCAAAGCAGCTTAGGTTCAGTAGGAGCAATGCTTTTTAACTGGAGTAGCAAAGTGTCTTTGCTGTTTTTGATAGAAATCGAAATTTCCTAATATTACTTTAAGATTTTGGACATCTTTGAAAGTCGCATATTCTCACAAAGAAAGTCTTTCTCTGAAGTATTCGCGATTATTTTTATTCTAATCGTTCTGTCGAATTTCCTTAACCAATCTTTAGAAAGTTACCAATTCTTTAACCATTCTTCGATTTCACAACGTGGCATGTATGGACAACAAAGTAGATTTTAAAAGAAGCAATGGTAACTACAATTTTTGTATAACCATTACTTTTTTGTCTATGATAGCATTGACTTCCGTACTTTTAACTTCTCTACTTTGGTAACAAACACATACACATATGTAGATCTAATGGACCTCAAGCGTTACTATTTTTATACCCGTTAAAGGGGTATACCAGATTCGTCGGAAGGTATTTAACAGGCAGGACCATTTCCGACCTTATAAAGTATATATATTCTTGATCAGGATCACTAGCCGAGTTGATCTAGCTATGTCCGTCTGTCTGTCCGTCTGACTGTCCGTCCGTATGAACGCGAATATCTCGGAAACTAACAAAGATAGAGATTTGGATTCATATTTCTGATTTAGATTCCTTAGCCTTGTACGCAACGCAAGTTTGTTACGCGAATATCCCACGCCCACTGTAACGCTCACAAACCGCCCAAGCCTGTGGCGCCCACAATTTTCATGAAAAAAAAAAAATTTAACTGAAATGTATTAGACTCGTCAGTAGTACCTATCGATTGACCTAAAAAATTTAGCAACGCTTACTCAAACGCCCATAACGCTTAAATCTGTTTGCCGCCCACATAACCATATATTGAGATCGCGGGTAGGTGGCGCATTTCAATCTCACTTTGCTGCTTGCATATCTCAATCTCCCTTCGGTCCCTTTAGCTGAGTAACGGCTATCTGATAGTCGAGGTACTCGACCATAGCGATCTTCCTTGTCATTATTAGAAAAGTCAACACATATTTAATATGAAGATATGATATAGATATATTTGCCAGATTCCTAAAATCAAAGTTTCTCGGAAAAACAGATTCCTAAGTGGGGCAAACAGAAATGCTTACTGTTTGAGCAAGACACTTTAAAAAAAAAACACTTTGAGAGTTTATTTCGATTTTTTCTTTCTGACAGGGAGTCTAGGTGTACGAACCCAGTTGAGAATTATAAGCAACGGATTGAAAAAAATTTTTAAATTTATTTTTGAATCACTTTGGATCACTAGCCGAGTCGATCTAGCCATGTCCGTCTGACCGTCTGTCTGTCCGTCCGGATGAACGCTGAGATATCAGAAGCTATTAGAGCTACGCTATTGGGACTTGGCACGCAGATTCCTGAGCTTCTTAGGCAGCGCAAGTTTGTTTCAGCAAGGTGCCACGCCCACTCTATCGCACACAAACCGCCCAAAACTGCGGCTCCTACAGTTTTGATGCTAAAATAAAAATTTTAACTGAAATGTATTGTTCTCATCAATACCTATAAATTGACCCAAAAAAAGTTTGCAATGCCCACTTTAAAGCCCACAAACCGCCCACAAACTTCATAAAATCGCAAATATGAACGCTGATATCTCGGAAACTATCAAAGATATAGAATTAACATTTCAGATTTAGATTCCATAGCCTTGTACGCAGTTTGTTACGCGAATATGCCACTTCCACAGTAACGCCCACAAAGCGCCTAGGCCTGTGGCACCCACAATTTTCATGCTAGATAAAAAATTGTAAATTAAATGTATTAGTCTCTTACATACCTATAGATTGATCCAAAAAAAGTTTTCCACGCCCACTTTTACGCCCATAACGCTTAAATAACCATATATTGAGATCACGGGTAGGTGGCGTATTTCAATCTCGCTTTGCTGCTTGCATATCTCCATTTCCCTTTGGTCCCTAAAGTGAGTAACGGGCATCTGATAGTCGCGGTACTCGACTATAGGGTTCTTCCTTGTTTTTGTTTGGAAACTATTCAAGACTTATTTTCTCTATCGCTTATATCTAGGTCCCGTTGTTGGCATACGTCACCTGCAGGCCTTTCTGCTTTTTCTGGCCATCGTGGTGAATTACACAGCACGGCTCGGCGTTAGCGTGGGCGTAGTGGCCATGACGGATGCAGCGACCACCAATGAAAATTTTCCGGTGAGTGCGATTCGAAAGACGCTCCGTCGGTCAGTAACCTCTAACCATTTGCAGGAGTTCGATTGGTCAGGAGCGCAGCAGTCGTACGTCCTGTCTTGCTTTTATTGGGGCTACATCATCACCCAATTTCCCGCCGGTTTTTTGGTTCGGCGCTTTGGGGCTAAGGCGGTTCTGCTCATCCCAACGCTGGGAACGGCCGTCCTAAGCGCTCTAACGCCTTTCTGCGTAGCCTGGGGCGGCTGGCAGGCCTTCTGCACCATACGCATCGTGGAGGGCCTCTTTCAAGGTCTAATCTTTCCATGCATTCACGAGCACCTGGCCAAGTGGTCTCCGCCGGAGGATCGCAACCGGCTGGGCGCCTTTGCTTACTCAGGGGCCGACTGCGGGTCAGTTCTGGCTATGGCCAGCAGTGGTCTGATAGCAAACAGCTCCATGGGTTGGCCGGGAATTTTCTACGTGTCGGCAGGCACCTGTGGGCTTTGGTGTCTCCTCTGGGTGACACTCAGTGCAAATAACGCCCCTAGCCATCGGCTGATCGGGGCCCGGGAACAGGACCACATAGAACGTTCAACGAAGCGGAGCGATGGCTTCCACGGCCAGAAGATTCCCATCCCATGGCGTGCCATCTGGACTTCCGTTCCCTTCTATGCACTATTGATCGTGCGGGGCGCTCAGGGCTGGGCCAATTCCATAATGCAGCTGCAGACACCATTCTACTTGCACGGCGTCCTGAAAATGGACATCAAAAGCAATGCGCTTTACTCGGCCTTGCCCTTCCTGGCCATGTGGGTTATGTCCTATATATACCTAGTCTTCGCTGACGTGGCCATGTCTCGGCATTGGATGTCCTTAACCACGCTACGCAAGGCAATTAACACCGTCTCGTTCTGGGGGCCGGCGGCAATTCTTATCGGAACTGGCTTTCTGGACAACAGTCAGACCAGTCTGGCTATAGCTCTGATGACGATCAATGCTGGCTTAAACGCCGGGTCTGGAATAGGTAGCATCCTGACCATCATCGACATGTCGCCCAACCACTCAGGCATGCTGATGGCCATTGTTAACGGCATTGGAAATATATTTCCGCTCCTTACGCCGCTATTAGTAGGCGTTATTGTTACCGATCCTGTAAGTACTGACCATAATCGAATTTCTCACCCGTAGCTGAGAACTATTTACTAAATACCGCCTCAAAACCTTTTTATTATCATTTGGCACATCAATCCACATTTGAACGAAAGAGGTCGATACACTCGATGGCCGCGACTATCTGATACCGTTACATAGCTAAGGGGAGTGCGAGCGAGATGTAGATATGCAAGCTGCCAAGCGACTGCTCCCGAGATTTCACACCAATCCATCGTACCACCTGGCGTCGATTACTTTATTGGCACGCCTAGGATTGCCAAAATTTCACTTCTACATTGATTATTCGAACGACCTATGATAAAGTTAGTCCTAAAAGTTCACCAGTTTATTTACTGCCCTACCTATCTTCTAAGCAAAGTTATTTGGCTAATCGTCGTTATACTATTACACAAATACGCTGTGGGGCAAAAGTAAGAAAAATGTGCTTGTAACATGAAATATTGTTTTCTTCATTTAAGTAATGAAGATTTAGCGTCGCTTGTGACCGGTTGCGTATATCTTGTGCTCTGTGATTTTGTCAATTTTTTTTAGGAATATTAGTCCTGTTTTTTAACCTAGCCTAACAAACCAGGAATGCTTTTGTTTGAATCAGTTTTTTGTGTTCAATTATCTATTTCTTTTCATTTAAACTGTTGTCATCAATATGTTGTTCGTATTTCGCAGGGCACGCTCTGTCGAAGTTAATCTCTCGCGCTCTTTCGCTTTTGCAGTCTCTACGCGCTCTTAAAGTTTTGTGTTTCTGTGTTTCAACATTTTTGACGTTTTTATTTACTGTCGGCTTTGCAATACAGTCATACATCCTAAATGTACTGAAGTTATTGGCAGAGTAGAGGATTGAATTGGGGGTCTAAAACTTCGCTGCCGGCAGTACCCATGGCTACCAAAAGTTCTGGAGGAGACCCTGGTTCCGCTATACAGCCTGATGGGTCAAACACTACTGAGCTTTCTGTGCTCAAAGGATAAGTAAGCTCTGTAGGAGCTGGTCCCGAGAATAAGACAAACGATGTTGAGATTGCTGGTGGGGAAAGAAAGAGACTCTCGGTTGTTCCATTAGGAAGCATTTATTTCTGTTTCGTTTAACCCCCGAAACCACATCTGCAGATGATTTGGAATTTATACACCAAGAATTTCCATCTTCCCATCATTCACATCTTCATTTAAAATATCAGTTCCTCCTGAACAGTTTAATGTACTAAACCTTTACTGAGACTTGGCTGAAACCTGATATATCTGACTCAGAAGTTCTGTTCAACAATTTTAATACGTATAAAATCGATCGCACTCCTCGTAGGCGGGGTGGGGTGCTGATTGCCCTTGTTCCCCTTTCCCTGACTCACTTCTCTTTTCACCTTTATCTATGAATTTGTTGATTGTCTGTTAAAAGCAAGTAAGCTTTATACGTAAATCACTAAATAGACAATTAAACCTTGCATTTGTTTAAGATCCGTCTGAAGACCCGGTACCTAGAATTGACGCACTTGCTGTTCCAGAAGACCTATATCATCCCACAATTTGTTTCCCTTGCGTTGATACCCAAAAAGTAGCTCCCGGCTTTAAGGCACAAAAAGATCGTTTTACACTTTTGCTGTGTAGTAATGCATCAAGCGACTTTCAAGTAAAGCCAATGCTTGTTTATAAGTCTTTTAATCCCCGTTCGTTTAAAGGGATAGACAAGAGCAAATTACTTACTTACTAATACAACATTATTTCTGCAGCCAATGGATCAGGTTATAATTTACACCTTCAAGACATATTACATCATTCGATCTATACGCTTGATTTGGATACAACTGAAACTGACTCCATCGATGTAAACAGTGCTTGGAAGAAATTATCTATTAAAGATTTTACGCCGGGGATAGCGGGGTACCGGTGGCGCTGGTAGAATGGCGTGGGAACTGGCGGCGTCGGCGCGCTGCTGCTCTGGGCTTCGGCGGTTTGCTGCTGGTGCGGCGGAAAGAGTCTAAGCTTAGGGGAGAAAACCACTCGAAACGCGAAGTACCCCTTGACCGAAAAGTAATCACGCAAAAGGTTCACTGTACAAATTAGGCGGGGGTGCGAACGCGGTTTATTCAATATAAATGCCAAAATTGACCTGCCTAAGTCTAAGCTCAGTTCCGCGCTCCAAAGCGCAGCGGAGACTTCACGGAGGGGAGCTGGGAACAGAGCGGGAGAGCGGGAGCGCGAGAGAGTGGGAGAGCGAAAGAGCGGTGCAGTTGGATAGCGGGCCGGTCCAGATTCGCCGGACAGTGGGCCTGAACATTCCGCCCCCTTGCAATCGCTAGCGTTGCAAAAAGAAACGGAACCTCGGCCAGTCGCCTACGACTTAAGCCTGCGTACATGCGCCGGAGAGGATCCACCCTAACACAGTCTTCTGGGCTACGGCAGTCCCTCGTCGACCATGTGGAGGCCCGGCTGTATCACCTTCGGGTAGACGTCCGCGCCCAGGATTAAGGAAATGGTGGCTGGCCGATGGAAATTCTCATCCGCAAGCGGTAGCTCCTTAAACTTCTTTACTGCGCTCTCACTGAGCGCCCGGTTGGGGGTGCGGATGCGCACGTTCTGCTCGATCTTGAGGACCACCTCCAGCTTGATGTCCTCGTCGACCTTTGACCGAATCGTCCCGTGCAGATGCTCTCATCGCCCACGGTTTTTGTCGAACGTCTACTCCCCGGTCTCGACGATCACCAAAGCAGTCGGGAGGACGTTGACGCTATGACGCTGGAGAAGTACCGCGAGCGACGGAGCTGGTGTCGAGGATGCTGTGCGCGGTAGAGGGGCAAGCGTTTGACGAGTTGGCGGATATTGCCGGCGGATCTTGCCGGCGCGAACGCTGCGGAGAAGCGGGCTGTTGCTTGGAGCCGGACTTTTTCCGGGAAACAAGTTCGTGCATGTGGAGTAGCGTGTGTTCTGCACCGGTCACCGCTACGACAGCTCCCAGTGGAGTGCTCGTGTGCGAGACAGTTCGCGCAGTACTTGTTTATAAGAACTGCCCGCAGCCGCTTCTCTGCGCTCAGCTTTAGGAACCTCTGACACTTCCGAAGAGGATGGATTCCGCGGCAGACTCGGCATCGGTAGGACTGATTACCTCTCGTACGTCTGATATCCAATGCCTGAGCGCTACGTGGACGGGGAGCCATTTTCCTGTTTAGAGTGTGGATAAGGAAAAAACAAAAAGGGCTGATTAACAATGACGTGGATAATGGCTACGGACTAAGGTGTGTAAGAAACGCGGCTCGTTACGAGGTAGATTTGGACAACTCTCTTGGAAGAAAAACCTCCTTGGTCACTGGACGTTTGACAATGCCGCGTGTCGTACGAATGTCGAATACGCGGACCTTGCCATCGGCTCCCGGAAAAACGTAGTCTATTCGTCCGAGTTGCTACTCATTTGAGGGCAAATTGTCATCCTTAATAACGACCATATCGCCGACACGCAGATTTTCTGTGGGGACTTGCCACTTGTTGCGCTTGTGGAGCTCCTTAAGGTACTCATCCTTCCATCGATTGCGGAATTGTTGCCATTTACTTCAGGTTCCACTATGGATAGAAGAGGTCATCCAACAAGAAAGTGCCCTGGTGTCAACGCTAAGAGATCAGTTGGATCCTCGGACATGGAAGATAGCGGTCTGGAATTCAGACAAGCTTCGATTTTCGCTAGGAGCGTGGACAGCACTTCAAAGGTGTACTTTCGTGTAGCGGTGGACTTGTAAAAAAAGGTCTTGAAACTCTTGACACCAGCTTCCCATAGGCCTCCCATATGGGGTGCCCCAGGAGGAAGGAATTGCCAGCTGAGCTGCTGATGACTATACGCATCGGTCACAGACTCCTTAACGACTTGCAGGAAGTCTCGGGAAAGCACGGTGGAGGCGCCGACGAAGGTCTTTCCATTGTCGGACTGGACTTGGCGAGGACACCCTCTTCTAGATACGAAACGAGCGAAAGCGGCAAGAAACTTTTCACTCGTTAAGTCGGACATAGGCTCTAGATGGATGGCCTTGGTACAAAAACAAACGAAAACCAACACATACCCTTTTGTAATGAGACGAGCTCTTCCGGTATAATTATACCCGTTACTCGTAGAGTAAAAGGGTATACTAGAATCGTCGGAAAGTATGTAACAGGCAGAAGGAAGCGTTTCCGACCCAATAAAGTATATATATTCTTGATCAGGATCACTAGCCGAGTCGATCTAGCCATGTCCGTCTGTCCGTCTGTCCGTCCGTCCGTCTGTCCGTATGAACGCTTAGATCTCGGAAACTATACAAGCTACAATACTGGGACTAGGCATCGCAAGTTTGTTTCAGCACAGTGCCACGCCCACTCCAACGCCCGCAAACCGCCCAAAACCGTGGCTCCTACAGTTTTGATGCTAGAATAAAAATGTTACCTGAAACGTATTGTTCTCGTCAATACCTATCGATTAACCCAAAAACGTTTGGCACGCCCACTCTAACGCCCACAAACCGCCCAATCCTGTGGCGCCCACCATTTTCATGCTAGATAAAAAATTTTAACTGAAATGTTTTGGTCCCGTCAATACCTATAGATTGATCCAAAAAAAAATTGCCACGCCCACTCTAACACTTAATGGCGCATTTCAATCTCGCTTTGCTGCTTGCATATCTCCATTTCCCTTTGGTCCCATTAGCTGAGTAAAGGGTATCTGATAGTCGAGGTACGCGACTATAGCGTTTTTCATTGTTTTTTATATCAAACGGACCGGCGTAGTCCATCGCTGAGAACGTGAACGGACGGGAAAAAGACACTCGCTCTTTTGGAAAACTTCCCATCATCTGGACTTGCAATCTCATTTTGTGGATAACGCAGATCTTGCAGGAGTTAACCACTGCCTTCACCAAGTTCTTTATTCTCGGAACCCAGTATCTGGACCGGGTAAGACGCACCACTAACTGGTTACCACCATATAACGAAATGAGATGCGTAAATTTTACCAGAAGCCGCGAGAGTGTACATTC